TGTGCTTATTGTGCTTATGTCTCCAGCCTCTTTGGGCTAGTCCTAGAATGATGTCACAAGATTTCTGGAGGGGTTTTTGTTTCTTTGTTTGTTTCTTTGCTAGTTTGTTCAACCTATCTCTTCAGTTTTCTCTAAAGGCATCTTCAGCTGCTTCTCTGTTTCCATTTCTGCCTCCCTGGGGCAGACTGACCACACACGGGAAGGCAGATAAGAAAAATTTGGATTCAACTTTTAGTTCTGAAGTAATTCAACAGGCTCTGTCACAGCAAGGCTAAGACAGTGCTGCCCTGTCTGACCCAGTCTACCCTCCACTTTCCTGTGTATCCAGATATGCAGTATTTCCAGGAGAAACATTCAATGATCATGACCATCTTCTGTACTTACTCTGCACTACAGTTTCTGTAATCAAATGAGATGTGGATGCACTTGTTTTTTCACACATTAATTTCCACTTTCAATGTTAAACATGGCAGTACACATTATACATGTGATGCACCAAAGCTATCCCTAAAAGAATATGACTGTGAACAAATTATTCGTAGTAAGTCTACATTTATTATTTTTGGTTTGTTTTGTTTTTTGTTTCTGAGGAGTGGACGGGAGAGAGGAAAAAGTACTCTTTTTTTGGTTTCTATTAAGATACGGTGATGGAAAAGATAGGAAAGAAAAGATTGCAGATTTAAAGAACGCTTGCTAGCGCATGTGCCAGATGCTGACAGCTATATATAGCTACTCGAACAAGAACGGCTGCAGAGAGTATCTCATCCAGGCAAACAGGAATTTGCCTGAGTAAGGCCAGGGCAGAAATGAAAAAAATTCAGCATTTAATCTATTGTGCATTACTTCTGCTGCAGAAGAACTTGTGTAAGTACTCCATGAAGTGGAATAAGAACATGTCCTCGCGATGACCTTATCTGCTATCTACATTGCACATAAATGCGTTCCCAAATTTAACAAAACAAAACCTGTCTTTTTTGCCATTATACTGCTAGTCATTCTTGAATACAACCTTATTTTCCTAGCTCCACAGCCCTTAGAGAAGTAAGCAAAGCACAATAGGTAATGTATCTTTGAAGTAATAATAAAAATCAGCATGCAGTCTACAATAAGAAATTCAGAAACGGAACTCTAATATAAAGAATATGATTTGCCATCTTAGGTTATTGTTATTGTCTCATTCATAACAAAATTTTGGAAATGAGAGGCACTTACTTACTTTTTCTGCCTCTTTCCTCTATACTGTGATACCACATTTTTCTTCCTTTCTATTCAGTACAGTGGATTTTTACCTACAGCTGTATAATTGCTAAGTAGTTTAAAATGTGAAACAGCAGTATTTGATATGACGAGCTATCATTTATACAGAGCAATATGATAATTTGAGAAGGATAGGGAGGGTGGGTATGGATTCTAATTAACACTGATGAACCTGGTTCCTAAAGATTAAATTCCCAAATGAGTAACCGCTACCTCTCTATACACAGGTCTACCTCATTAAAACAATTAAAAAAAAATTATAAGCTTCACTCCATGTCAAGATATTGAAGGCTTTCCAAAACTGATTAAAAATATTAAATGAGGTATTGAACTACATTTAAAATCAACCTTTTTTGTGTATTGAAAAGTAATGGTCTATAATTTGTATTCAAGTGCTTTTATTTCCAGTGAATAATAATTGTACTGCAGCCAACTTGGTGCCCTGTTCTTCTGAAAACCTCAAGGGATGTACAGAGGAGGATTTTGTTTCCTACTGAAGACACACACTTTGCATAACATTACTTCTCATGCTTCAGTTCTTATGTATATGCTTAACTTTGTTTCATTATGAGTTTGTTTTTCCACTGATGGATCCTTCAAACCAGTAAACACAGATGAAAGTGCATCACTATTAGATATGCTGACAGACTCTGCAAAGAACTTTATGCTAAATGAAAGCACATGCAAACAGAGGATTCGGCCCAAATGCCTTAGGAAGTGGACTTAAAAATCAGGAGATTTCTAACACTCTGTTATTGTCTCCTGTTTTTCTTTTTTTGCAAAACCTTGCCTACAGCCACATGATGTTAAACTAAAGCTGAAATGACACACACAAGTGTTCATCACCCTGTGTCCCCCTGAAAAGAAAATCAATTCTGTGGCAGTTGAGGAATCAGTCATTTCTTATCATTTGGCCCTTGTGCAACATTTGCCCCCACTGATCTTCCTTATGTCGAATCCCATCTTCCTGGGTCCCCAATCTGCATCCTTTCCACTTACAACCTCCTGCTTTTCAGTTCCCCTACACAGCTGCAGACCTTGTCTAGGTTAAATTAAAAAGTACTTGTTTTGGATCATAGTATTACAATGCACATGGATAAAAAAAGCATAGTGATAAAATTATGTCTGTAGACAGAGAGCTTCCTGTCCCTCTCCCTTCTGTCTCTCATACACTTTTCCAGCATATTTGTCTACCTTCATGGTCACCCCATAAGGCATTTCCACTCTTCCAGCCACCTCATGGTCCTTTGGGGTATATTGGGAGGGCTTATTTTGCCCACGCAGGTCCACAGGACAATGTCAGTCAGAAACTTCTGTCCTAATGAGGGGCAGTGACCTTGTCATGCAAAGGAGAAGCTTCATGAAAGCAGAAATCTTAAAAATGCATGGAAATTCTTACAACACTATATTAGGAGACCTGTGATCCACAGCAAGAGTGGAAAATACTCTGAAACAAACACAAGTGTGCCTGAAAAATTAAAGAGAGAAGAGCTTAGGCAACATTGACAGAGACTGAAGTAACTTTCAGGGTTGGTCAGTATTTCTCCCTGCGGAAATACCAGTGGGCCACCAATTTCATCTTGCGCCACTTGGGATGGAAAATCCTAGAACAAAGGAAATGTCAGGATAAAGGAAAACAGAAAGGAAAAAAAAAAGGGTACTTTTATCTTCAGGACTCTCAGCTCTCAACCATGAGATCCAAACACTGTCTTCTCATTAGTTACAGTTTCAAAGGCCAGCAATATCTATAGTATCTGTTGTTTTCTTCCAAGTAATATGTCCATCATTTTTTATAATTTCTTAGCCACTTTTTTAACCTATCAGACAATGATTGCTGTCCACCTCTTTCGACTTCAGTTAAATATTTATATCCCATATTATCAAATACTGTTTCAAATATACTACATGCCACAAAATCTCCTTAGCAGCTCACCTGTGCTCCCCTCTCACCATAGCTTATGTTGCCACTAGTTAGTTTAGCAAGTAAACAAGTTAGATTAAAGCCACCTCAAATATGTCTATACGTCTAGAAGCTGCAGTAAAAATTTACCCTTATGCATCCTGTGGATTACATACAAGCCATGAAAGCTTCTTTTACTACTGAAGTAGGTAAATCTGGAATGCAAATCCTGAATTTCAGACAAACAAATGATTCCTTGTCCAAGTCCCTTTCCAAACTTGTCCTTAGGGTATTGCATGTATATAAAGGGGGAAAATTTGAAAGATTCAGACAATCGCCACAGACACCTTTAGTTCTAACAACCTGCAGGTAGAGGCACAAGTCTGAAGGAGGTAATAGTAGCTAATGGATATTAGTATGTGCCATTACCTGATCTGTGTGCACAATTACAGCAATCTACGTATACTACATTTGCTTATCAAATTTGGCTTGAAGAGCCTAAAACAACCACTTTTCAGGAACAACATATCACTTCAGAGTTGTTTGCAACTGATGGAACTTTAACTTCGAGAAAAGCCACATGGGTATAATGCCTAAAGGAACCGAGAAAAGTAATTGCTTCCAGAGAGATTTCTTTCCTAAACTAAACTGAAGGGGAATACAACAATGAACTCCACTTCTCGAAAACAGACATTATGAGGCCAGAGAACTCTACCAAAAATGAGAGTTTTCCTCTCCCTTAACAATGCCAGAAACAAGAATGTTAAGACTAAAAACATCTCAAGACACACCACAGCTGTCAAAAAATTGTAAACAATCACTATCTCTGCTCTGAGACAGTCCCAATGATTCAGCTGAACAGAGCTGTTTAGTCCTATCAACAGCACGAACTGTTTAAGTTGTGGGAGCTCTACCAATTAGCACAAGAAGAGGATGTGATTATCTTTTACTGGTCTATGGGTCTCTAAGAAAAAAACAAAACATTGCCCCTCATCCTGCTAAAACGGTCCAATTTCTCCCTTCCAAAAACCTCAAAATCAAACAGAAAATCACAGGCTATATTAGTGATGAAGCCAGGTGCCCTGCTGCAGTGGAATTTGAAATAAATTAATGCAAAATAAATCAAAGCAGAGATCTTTTCACATCTACTGCTAGTAACAGAAATGTTGCCTAGAAGCTTTCAGACATTTTCAGATGTCTTCTCATCCTCGTAGCATCATTGCTTTTCTACAAGATGGTGGTTCTTGAGGAGGAAAACAACCATCGTTATAGAACCATTTTGAAGTAGAAACAGATATTATGAAAGCTAACAAATGAAAAAAAAGAATCTCTTTATTACATTCTCATCTATTCCACAGATCTTCTATTGGTTAAGTAATTTATTTAGATTGTGAACTGCTTTGACATCACTGAGGATGGCAGAACTACTTCTGATCAGAAGAACATCATTTAATTATTGCCAAAGAGGAAAAAGTCATAAAAGTATGAAAAGTTCATAGTAATACACAAGGCTAGCAAAAAGACAAATTAAAATTATCCAGGCACTATATGTCAACACAATGAAATTATACATAGTATTAGAAAATGTGTCAGGGTAGGAAACGTTACAGTCTTGAAAACAGTGAGCATTTTGCCAATCATTTTCAATATAACCGTGAGGCTGCTTTTTGCAATATAGGACATCAATGTCAAAAAATAAAAAAAATAGGTGGGAAAAAAATCCTCTCAACCTTCAAACAAATACATTAAAATATGTAAAAAGAGATAGATGTAGTTTGTAGTGATAAGCTACCATCTATACATCTAAGGTGAAGCATGTCAGAAAATGCTTACAGACACCTACCTCATCTTGCTTAGGAATGCTGAACTTTGTTATCTTTGACTTGGTCCTGGCTGAATCAGCCTTGCTAGAAGGCACTCCCCTGTATGATTTGGTTGTCTCTGCTGATAACTTCAGCTTTGGAGACTCATCAGGGGCCTGGTCTTGCCCATCCATCGGTCTCACATAAGCCGTCGGTTTCTGCTGAACAGAAGCTAGTGAAGGTGGGAAGTTTTGGACACAGTGCCCACCACCGTGCTTTGCTGGTCTCTCTTGCACTTGAGCTGCTCCTTCGGAAGCACAGCTTAGCTTCAACTGCTGCTGCACTCTGGTGACGTTGTCTCCCAGTGTTGACCTCAGCGAGCTCTGCTGGGCAGTGTTGGAGGAGGAGGAGGTGGGACTAGATGCATAGCGTTTCAGTTTGTCCAGACCAGATTTTTGGTTAGCCAGTTTGAAGTCGCTCTTGTGCGACTCCAGTGACCTGTGCCCATGCTTGCTTGCTCTCTGCTGGCCCTCTGAAGCTGAGTTGTGCCCGGCCTTCTGCCAAGCCATCGTGGAGCTTTTGTTCTGTTGGGCAGGTAGAGCTGCTGGTGTGGAAGAAGCAGCGCTGCAAACTGGTGGAGGTGGCAGAGGTCTTGAATCAGCAATGAGGTGCTCATCAGGCTTAGGAAGAGAGGCCTGGGGAATGCCAGGTTTTGGGACCCCGACAAGGTGACTCTGGTTTGATCGATCAGTTAACAAGTCTTTCATTTCATCGTAGTTGCCAAGTGTGTTCTGGATGCGATTTGAGAGCTCGTCTCCCTTGTTAGTCTGTAAAACAAAAATAGAGTGTTCTGTAACGGTCAACATAAGAAAACCAAATTTCCCTGCATGCCTCTGCTGGAATCCGTACTGAAGTTGCACTGCCTTATTCAGCAGCATCGTTGAGGGATGAAATCGAAAATCCTTATTGTCTCTGAAGGCACTTGTCAACATCTTAAATCTAGCCTGAACTGGAAAAGCTATAAAGGGCCTTAGAGTATATAAAAGAAAAGAAATCTATCACTGGTATCATGCTGTAGTTAAAATATATTACCTGGAAACTAGAAAATTTATTAGTGCAACTACACCGAATGGTTTGGATTAAATCTGACCATGATAAAACTTTTCCTGTAGCCCAGTGCAAGCTTTTCTTCAGCCATGAGTGTAAGCTCTACATTCCTGATTTCTTCCTTCGCCTGCTTATGCTTTCATATTTCAGCACTGGGAAGCCACACAAGTGTTAGTGCAAGCACTGAATGAACTCACTAACCCACAACCTTTGAAGTTACTTGTGGAGACACCATGGGACCATAGGAAAACTATAGGTCATGATGCACCTTCTTTGAAAAATACTGTGTAGGATGCTCACTCTGGGCATCTCCCCTCTGAAAAAAAAAAAAAAAAATTGAACAGATCCCCCCAGGGTCTCAATAATGCTCAGTGCTTGCTGGGCACTGAGTGGGACAGTGGAACACCGCTCGAGACAGCCACCCTTTCTTTCCTTTGAGATTAATCACCACTATTTTAAAAATAATCCATTTACTTCTGACTGAAAAGAAGTTTCTCAAAGGAATAAGAAAAAGCAAACAAACAGTATTTAAAGTGATAGAATATTATTGCTTTAAGAAGCTATTATGAACAAAAGGGCGAATTTTTGCAGCAGAGAGTTTTCTGAACCACCCCAGTAAGCAGGCAGGTGATGTCAACAGTATTCTCCTTTCTTTTATTCCAGTTATGTCATGATCTGCCATGAAGAGAAATGTGAAACCGTTATCCACAGATATGGACTGGCTTAACTTAATTTTAACTGGCTTAAAAGGGTGCGTTCCTTCACTTTTCAAAAACAACACTGGCATCCTATAGAAGAGGAAACTCCTAACACGGCTTCAAAAGTGGGAAGTATCATGTACATTTAAAAATGAAGTGATGCAAATGCAATGCATTGTCTACTGCTTTAATTGGATAAGAGGGAAGCTTGACTGGCACATTAAGTGATGTAGATGGCACTTCCATGCGAATCCCCTGTCTTGGTCTGCTTAGTTGGTACTATGGCAAAAGCTGCAAAGCTGACAGGGGAGATCCTAAGATGCTTCTAGATCAGGCTCTAGACTGCCTACAGTTGGGCTTACTGATCTTCAAGGGAGTTGGAGATATGTGATATGTTGCATATGCTTTTACTAGGTTCTACTTTCTGTAAAGCAAAGATAAGTCTCCTTTCATCCCATGGACCTCTTCTGTATTTCCTGTGGATTCTTCCACTAAAAGGTGGAAACCTGAAAGTTCTCTTTAATTCACTCAATTCTTTGCAGTTTATATACTTTAATTGTTCATCACTACATCCGTACGTTCCTGCTCTAGAAAGTACAGCTTTCCCAATACAAGGTCTATGCTTTCTCACGGTTGATATTTGGATGAGAAGTAGCTACTAGTCTCATTGCAGATTGTCTGTGGGATATAAATACCCTAGAAAAGTCAGAAGATTGTCTTCAATGTGGATGATATGTTCACAGAAAGATAAGTCTCTTTGAGAGATGACAGACAGCCACAAGAATAATTGCAGCAAACAGATCTATATGATAACACATGCTGTCCTGTGTCCAACATGTTAGTGTTTTTGCCAGACTGAGAACAGCTTGAGGTGAGAAGATTTTGAGTAGAGCTGAGCTCATCTAGAAGAGCTTACTTACACTTTCTTGGAACACAATGGGATTTGAGGTACCTTATTTTGAGCTTTAGATGTAACACACCATTACTTTCTCTGTAATGCTGCTGGCCTTATTTAGTTAATCATTCATAATAGGAAAATATATTCATGAAATCATTCATATTAGTCTCAAAATGTAAGCAGGAAAAGCATTCAAGGCAAACCTTTCTAACTTACAGTGCTGTACAAAACAAAGTGGGAACTATTCACATGCTCAAACACCTGTAAGATCCAGTATTTCTAAAAATAAGCCTGATGGTTGCAAGGAAAGCCATCAGAACTTTTCCTTCATTAAAAATACTGCTACGGTTAGTGAGGAAGGGCATTCTATCAATGAAGCATCAAGAATGAATTTTCTACTTTTTTAACTCCTGTGAAAGACTTTTTTTTGTAGAAGACACTGGATTTCTTTCATAAAAGGTTGCTATGGATACTTCGAAAGGCACAGGGCAAGGGGCAGCCCAAACAGTCAGGATTTTTCAGAAAATCTGATGCTACAGGAGTAGAGATATGTGTCAAGGTGAGAAAGGGCATAAGATGTAAGAGATTTCCAGTCTGCCTTTGATTTCCAGATATGGCCTTCCAGATAGCAGATCATTTCGTTCTAGCTCATGTTTCTTAAGCTGTGCAGAGGAACACTGAATTCAATCAGAACTTGCAGTGAATGTCACTGTAACTTCATTCCCTTGTGGAAACACTGAAGACTTGAACATGATCTTTAAAGATGGTATAGCAGGTTTCACTTTTATTTTTGCAGTAAGGTATCCTCTTTTGCAGTCAGTCTCTCTTCTCAGCAAGATCAAAATGCTCACAGCCAAGAGTAGCAGTGCTGCACCTCACACTGATGATTCAGAAATGCTTGCAAGAGTTCAGAGAGCCCAAGGGTCCATTGCCAATGCAGACCTGACATTCAGAGTATCTCCCTGTCTAAATTTTAGTGCCAATAGACTCAGACCGATGCATCTTCCCAGTTGCTGTTACTGTCATTCCCATGAAGCTGCAGTTGACTGATGTAGCTTGACTGAGCTTTGCATTTCTCAGTGCTTCCTTGCACTGAGCCAGCTGTAGGATGCATCTCTGCAGAATCTGTTTTAACCAGCTAGGCCAAAATAGGGATATGATGATTAAAGATGAGATGCATGGATGGCATCATTATTCCGATCTTCTGGTTCTACAGAGTGCAATGTTTTTTTGTCCACTCTTATTTAGGTGGGTGGAATTATACTGTGATTGAGTAGGAGTGATTTCAAAAATCATAAACAAATTCATAAACTACTGATGTGTCTGTGATGCATGAAGTCTGTGTCATGACAGTCAGTACAGGGGTCAAAGCATTGGGACACAGGTAGTAATCATGGTGTGCAAAAAATTCCAACTATACCACCTTTATAAATGTTTTGAGCATCAGTATTATCCACTTTAAGCATGACAGACAAAAGGTATCAAGGACCCAGCAAAATCAAAGACCCTGTTGCGAAGGCCTATTTAATTGTATCTACCAAATGCTAAATGACTATGACCAGTTGCAACAGAGCCCTCACTAAATGTCAAGACACAGCTGCATTAATTCTTTCTTTATTTATTTCTTTTTTTTTTTCCTGTGGATTAGCTGTAGTAGCTTGATTGGTCTCACAGTAGACTTTCTCAAGTGGAGCCCTGAAGAGGAGTCCAAGATGCTTCTCACGGTTTCTAAGTGCCTGCCTTGGTCATGAATCTCAAATCTGAGCAACTAGAGGCCAGCTTCGAGGTGGATAGAGCTGTCTTCTATCAAGGGCCATGGTTTGAAACCAGTAGCTCTTTGTTTTTTATTACGGTCTAGAAACACACAAAAATCTGGAAGGAACACAAGCCTTAGCAAGTTAAAAGCTGACTGTGGGCCATGGGCAGTTAAAATAAAGTTGCCAGGTCCCAAACAGGCCTGCTGGGAAGAGGCCCTAAAGCACCCAAAGCACCAAGGATGAGTAGAGCTCCATGGAGAGGAAATGCTTCACAATCTGGTGAACTGTCACGCTAACTTGGGCATCACTGGGCGGGCACAGTAAAAGATACACGATGATGCTTTTGATGCATGCAGGCAGTGTCTGGGCTAGCTGCTGCGGAGGAGCAGCCCCCGTGGGATGCTGCTCCCGGGTCTTGTGTCATTTGCGTGTTTCTGTCAGCAGCAGTTAAATGCCGAAGATCCTCCTTGATCCTAAGGGGAAGCGGGGGAGAGGATTGTGCCTCATCACACTACTGTTCCCAAGAGGGATAAAGCAAGGACTTGAGACTCATAAGCTACTTCTGCTGTTGCTGAAGGCAGAACATGGTTAGCAGAGAAAAAGACAGTCAGGATTTCATTGCATTAACCTTGCTTAGAGCATATTATTTACTATGCAGCTTGACCTTCACAGGCAATTCTAACGCAATTATTTTCTTCTATGTGTTGCAAAAACAGGGTACCATCACCTTCACCTCCAATTTTAATGCCACCTTCACCTCTAATTTTAATGCCAACATTGTTAGGGTGCTGCTAGTTTATTTCATCCTTATGTGCAGCTGAATTATAAGAAGATAATGTAAAAAAAAGAAAGAAAGAAAAAGCCAAAAAAAGAAAAGAAAGAAAATCCAGTTCCCAATGAGCCATAAATGTTCCATGTGAATTTTGTGAGCCTAGCACTTGTGAGAGGTTACTGAAACCTGGACAACACAGGCTGAAAGGCTGCATTTTTATACTGTGGAATAAATAAACAAATAAATAAACAGCCAGCTGGGAAGCATCTACCTTGTATGGTTCACTGAAGAGGGAGTAACTCGTGTTAAATGTGCCATCTTCCTGCTGGGCCTCCTGATTTCTCCTTTCCCATTCCTTCCTTCGCAGCACATTTCTATCCGGCTCATAGACACTGTAGCAAAAAGAGGAACATCTTTTTTAAGAGTGAATAATTAGAGGGCAACATATAAGCCAGTGAGAATCTAAAACTGAAGAACACTGGTTTGCAGACAGATGGCAAAAGTAAGCAAGGACATGAATCAGATGCATGCCAGTCCAAGCAGGCTGAGGAGACTCAGGTCTCCGGGAATGCGGCTGCTTTCTTCACACAGAGAATAGGTAATTAAATTCTTACAAAAGAATAAAAAAAAAGAAATCACATTGCAGGATCTAGTCTGCTTAGAACTTCTCTGCTTGAAATGTGACAAAGGAAATATCTAAGCAACTTTGACAAAGACTGAAAGTACTCTTAAGGCAGATGGTAATTACAGCTATGAGTAAATAGAAATTATGAACATATTTCCACTTATGACATATCCTCTGAGTGTTGTATGAGAATGCTCCTTTTTTTTACATCGATGTGTTTCTGTAGTGATTCTTTCATTAACTAGCTCCCTGAAGAGCTGTTAAAACTACATGCTGTAGTGGTTTCCACAGTTAGGCTGCTGCTTCTGATCTCTGTTAATCAGCCAAGTCATGAAACTACTACTGAAACAATTCCTCTTTCTGATGGATTTGACACCATCACAATTTCAGAGCATGAATAAATGAATACTAGCATGATCGTGTATGTATGGCTGGGAGAGTGCGGCTGGTAAGAGAATAAAATCTATGCACTGCACAGTATCAATATAGGCACACAAAATAAAAATCGACCTTTTTTTCTACAAATGCCAGTTTAATGCATGACACTGTAAAACACAGGGTCCTTTCCCCAGCTCAGCACAGGTCTGCAAAATTCAATCTCTCAGGTATTGTTGTCATCACAAAGGAAACCAATGAGTCTAATAAGTTTTCCGCGTTATTTCAGATAATGGCACGAGCATGAGGGTTGCTTGTTTTGCCTAGCTCAGCTCATGCCTGTGTTTGGGCGCTCTAAGTCTGTAAAGCAGATGCATATATTAATGCCATGTAAATGTACCATACGTTAATAAAAAAAAAAAGATTGTCCTGCTAACTAGTAGTTTCCCAGTTAGCAAAACACATGCTGCATTGGCAGCCCACATGACACTACCTAGGATGCCTCAGGCAAGACTGTAAAAAGGCCAACAGCTATCTTATTTTAATCCGAGAGAGCCAAAAACACATAGAAAATATAGACACTCTTAGTATTTTAAAACAATGCCTTCGTAGTCAGCAAAGGACACTGAAATTCTACCTTTATCCATTAATGCTGCCAATTCCTCCTGGACAGGTCTACCCTAACTAGTGTTCATGTGAATAGACTAATCCGCAGTGGACTCTGAGCTGACTCTTCTACCTGCCCCGCAATTGCTGATGCCAAACACGGAGCTCTGAGCACAGGCACTTATTTTAACACAGAATTTCACTACAGCAGCTTGGAGAAAGCTTCTGGACACCTTTTTTTTTTTTTTTTCCTTCTGCTTACAAGGATAATTTTTATCCTGTGCTCTTCAAGAGCAATGTATATATTCCACATCAACACTCTCCCTTCAAAAAGGAGTGCAATGAGTAGACCGTCTCAGGATGGAGCTGGGGACAACAAAATACTCCAAATGTCCCCTGGGAGGATGAAAGTAAGGAAGATGGAGGCATGCCAGGGGCACGCCACTGTGCACCCTGCAGATGCCACGCGGCAGAGCAATCCTCGTCTGCTATTACATGAGACACTGTCCTCAGCTACTCCGTCATACTATTGGAATATACCCTCATGGGATACATCATGTATAAGAATTTCTTACAATAAACCTTGTGTCTAATTTGGTTTTCTGCCACCCCAAATAACTGTGGGTTTATCTGCAGTTGCAGGGATCTGTTTTCATCACCATCATCAGCTGCCTTTCCCCACCCTCGCCTCTTTGAGACACTTTGTATTTGGACTCTAGCCTGCAGTCAAATAGAGATGGGCAGCTCCTCTGAGATTAATTACAATACTCATCTTCATCCGGTTTCTAGGAAGTAAACAAGTGCAACATTCTTCACTGTGCCTCAGACGAATTAAAAAATGTATCAGCGTGATACTCCTTAAGTGGAGGGATTTATTTATTGCTTTTTATGATAGAGGAAAAAATCAATAAAGATATATAAGTCCTTTGATCTCTGAGGCTCCTCCTGCCCTTCCTGAATTAGACACTGGCTGTTAGCAATGGCATTCATGATGGGCAATAATTTAGACTGATTATGCAAATGACAAGACAGTGTGACAATGCCTAATATGCTGTGTTTGAGCAGTAAGTTAGGAAGAGCTACAAGTCAAGTTGTATTCCTTTGGTAATACCAGATGGCAAAATCTCTAGCATTTGCGAGTCTGCTCCTTATTTACATGAACATTACAACAATCACATTTCCTTGAACGTATGTCACTGAATGTATTTATTTATTTTGGTTCAAGGAGAATATTGCCAACTGCTACAATTGTCTTTATTGCAAACACTTCAGTTAATGGAAAATGAGTGTCCTTAATAGTTTCCTTCCTTCTTCCGTTCTATTCTTTTAAATTTCTAATTTAAAATAACAGCAAACATACATACACCTTTTCAATCATATACACTACATTCCTCTTTTCCACTGCATGAGCCATGTAGAACAAGTTCACACAAATCTTAAGATTTTTTCTCCTCTGGTGCATGCATATGTATGAGGTGTATGTATATATGCATATTATATGTACAGGCCCCCATCAGTTTATTGAGGAAGGATTTTCTAGTACGAACCAAAATGTTGAAGCCGTTTTGCAAGATTAAGCAACTAAAGAACAGACAACCATTCGTCTCTCAGTAAATTGGTATAGTTTATTTTATAGGGGTCAATTTCCAACAAGATGGATTTAGATATTTTTTAAGCAGTATATTGTTTTTATAAGATGCTGCACTCATTTCATATTCCTGCTTAAGGACATTAACTGATGCATGAGTGATGATTTAAATACTTACAAATCTGTACATGAGTAAATGTTGCATTATAAAAATGATACTATCCCAAGTTTAGCACACTGATTTAAAGACACATTTTCATTTACCTCTGCCCTAAGATCTGCCAAGAGACGTACTGAAAAAGAAACATTTCCTGATTAATTATGTCCAAGTGCCAGCGCCTCAAAGTGCTTCCAGCACAGCATCATCATCCAGGCTCCTCAGCATTATGTTCTCGGCTTCTTCTAAGGTACCTTGAATAATTTCACTATCAGATATTGTACAGACAAGGATACTAACAGATTGGCAGGTGTCTCGGACTTGGGATGTTCAGTAAGCTTCAAGCTGCTGTTACGACTTTCAGGAGATTATGTCAAAGATTGCCCCTTCTTTGGCTGTTCCCCACATCTGGAGGGCCCCTACCACCCCAGTCTCCCCATGCCGCAGACAGGGATGCTGCAAGGTTTATCATGCTCTTGTCGACATGGGAAGGAACCATTTCCTTTAGTCCTTAATTAGAAATAGACAGAGCCGGCTCATGGGACAACCAGGGAGCAGAGCAATAACCTTGCCTGAAAAACCCAGAACTGATTTAATCTGATACAAAGTCCGAAGAGTTGTGTGGTCTCAGGCTAGGCTGAAAGCAATCATATAAAAAGCCTAAAGTTTTAAGTGGTGAAGAGCTTGCTTCTTTTGATTGCACACTATTTCTGACTCTCACCTTTTTGTTTCTGTACCTTGCAAAATCCATTCAAAAGATTTATCTTATCATTCCCTGAATTATGAGGGCCCCTTCTTCCTTCTACCTCCCCAGGTATATGAATGTTGTAATGTAGATGGACAAGTTGCTTCTTTACTTGCAGTTAGCATTTTTTGACCCAAGAGGTTGATCTTCTTGACCACAGCAGCTACTTGTGACACTTCATACAAAACTTTCAGAACCTGAAGTATAGACATTTTAATGAGAAAAAGCAAAACCAAAGTCTCACGGTAACATAGAATGATTTGTTAAATTGCAAATACACATTTCCCTTGGGCTCCTGCCATATCTGTGCTAAAGAAAACCTGAAAGCCACTTGCAGGGCCAGAGCTTCTTTCCCAGATTTTGTCAAGTAGTACCTGGATTTCTTCATTTGTGTGGAAACTGAACTTTTTGCTTTCAAGTTAGATCAAGACTACCCGTATGAAGTTCCATCAGACTGCAAAACCTACTCTCAGTAACTCATGGAAATTACACTATTTCCTAGCAGGGTTCCTAAACACCTCGGAGGGTATTTAGAGATGGTAGTGTTCAAAGAAAAAAAAAAAAACTCACTCCATAAGATAAGTTTCAAGCATAAAACTAGACTTGTGAACTAGTTTTCTGTGAGGACAAATATATCTTTAAAATGAAATAGTAGCACATATATTCATTTCTGCATTATGAAAAAAAAATGGAAATGTTTCAAAGATGCCAAAAAGGCAATATTTTGAAAAAAAAAATGGATTACTGATTATTCTCAGTATCCCTTCAAATTCTAATCAAGATGCAATATCATAGAATCATAGAATCATAGAATGCTTGAGGTTGGAAGGGACCTCTAGATGTCATCTAGTCCAACGCCCCTGCACACGCAGGGACACCTAGAGCACGTGGCACAGGGCTGTGTCCAAGCGGGTTTTGAAGATCTCCAGAGAAGAAGACTCCACCACCTCTCTGAGCAGTCTGTTCCAGTGCTCTGTCACCCTCACTGTTAAGAATTTTTTCCTTAAGTTCCTGTGGAACTTTTGGTGTTTCAGTTTGTGGTCATTATCTCTAGTTCTGTTGGTGGCCACCACTGAAAAGAGAACAACTGGACACAGTACTCCAGATATGGCCTCACCAGGGCTGAGTAGAGGGGCAGGAATACTAAATTTCAGGCTGAAGTGAGGCTATTTTCTTAAATATTTAATAGGTGAATTCTCCCCTAAAATACCACATTTATGCCAAAGTAGTTATATTGAGTAACTCCAGGGAAAAATGTATGCAACACAATAAAGAACAAATCCAACCCTGATGCAG